GACCGTATGAAAAAAGGAACTATTGGAAGACGACGCCCCAACGGCGAAATACACCCACGATTCACTAAATCATTCGCGCGAAAGCACGGGGCGAGCCACGCGGCTTTTAGAGACCCAACCCCTTTTTTTACATTATATGCCTAACTACGATTCGTAATATGTTATTTCCAAATTATTTTAAATTACAGACCACGACGAACCCATGCGATAATAGGAGAAGGCGTCCATTCGACAATATCTTCTTGCGAGGCGCTCGTGGGCACCTCGTGCTCCGTACACCTGGAGCATCACGCCGAGTTGGTGAGCAGCTAATGCAAGTTCCACATGCGCATTTTTCGTTTTTTTCTTATCATTGTGCTACTAAAAATTGATGTGTACAACCAAAGGCAAATTATAAATTATAATCAATACTAGAAATTTTAAATGCCTGTTACGGTCGAAGATGGATCTTCATTGCTGTAAATAATTCAATCTTGAATTACTAATATACACTATATATGTTCTTGCATATATATTGTAGTTTTTTCAAACTACGCACCGAATTGTTTTTCCGGACTATAAATGCAATTAAAGCTACCGTCAAGCATCATATTATAAAGATGTTAATATGTTGAAACTGTTAATAAATTTCCGAGGTAATATTTTTCGCAATAAATTTATTTATTATAAATTGATTGTGTTTCTCACATATGCGGTCTAAAATAAAGATTCTTAATATTGTTTATAAATTATAATTTCCTCGTATAATTTAATTATATTTCTCTAATTTAATTACATTTTTTTACTAAAGATTAAATAAGCTGTTTTAACGAACTAAAATATTATAACTATATCAAAGCGTGCAAGTATCTGTAAAGTTATCACGATACTTTATTGATATCAAAAAAATAATGACAGTTTCCGTATGCCATATTTTCATTTTTGGTTTTTTAGTATAAAAAATGCAAAACTCTTTTATTTTTATAAGGAACTACGAAAAAAAAATTCTACTGAAACTGTGATTATTTTTTTCGTATTAATAAAATGTACTAACTTCACAGATACACATGCCGAGGTGTGTGATGTTGACACCTTATCTTTTTGCAAGTTCCATTTGCGCTCACAATAATTGTATTTCTGATAAGTTTCAGAAATACTTCCGTTGATTTAATTAAAAAAAATAACATTCGAAAATTTAAAATGTTAACTTTACATGGCATCTCAAAATTTGAAAAAATTAATTTTGATCATGAAATTTTATAGTTCTCGAAGTTCTGTAGTTCCTGATAGGTTTTAGAAATAGTTCCATTGAGGTAACTAAAAAAAATGTGCTACTTCACAGTCGTGCTAACTTCACAGATTCCTTAGTTAGCGTATGTTAGGTCCGAAAGTTTACAAGTTGCTTTCATGCACTAACCGACACATTAGCATAAAAGCCAGGTGCAACGGCGAAGTTATGCGTTGTTTCTGGTTAGTCTGTTGCCAATCGTCAATTTTAGCCTTTCTTGTAGGTATATTATTATCATGGACAAAGCGTGAAATTTTGCTTCTACCATTCAAATTACTAACAGCGATAAATTATTCAATAAAAAGAACTAACCAACGACTTTGAAATCGATACCAATACTCGCGATCAGTATTCGATCTCATTGGAAATCACGTCTGCCTGCCCCTCCCCCCCACTTAACCAAATCTTAATAAAAAAATTATGGAATAATGCGCTATTTATGCGCTATCCATATCCGCAAAAAAAATTTTTTGCGCTCATTCCGTTTAGCTAAAAAAAAAATTTTTTGGGGGGACTGAGTATGCATTCAGTCAGCCCACCCACCCGTTAAAAACAACCGAATTGGAAAATTAAATACACAGGATTTATGCGCTATTTATGCGCTACTATTTTCAAGCATTTTTGATTTTTGCGCTGCAACCCTTAAGGCACTTCTCTCTCTCTCTCTCTCTCTCTCCCTCTTGGAGCGAGCAATCATATTTATCCCTAAGTAAATATGACTGTTCGCTCCAAGAGAGAAGTGCCTTAAGGGTTGTAGCGCAAAAATCAAAAATGCTTGGAAATAGTAGTATAAATAGCGCATAAATCCTGTGTATTTAATTTTCCAAATCGGTTGTTTTCAACGGTTGGAGGGGCTAACTGACTGCCTACTCAGCCCCCCACAAAAAAAATATTTTTTTTTTAGCTAAACGGAATGAGCGCAAAAAATTTTTTTTGCGGATATGGGTAGCACATAAATAGCGCATTATTCCATAATTTTTTCATTAAGATTTGGTTAAGTGGGGGGGCCAGCTAGACAGACGTTTGGAAATCAAAGAGTATAGGCGCGTATCGAACTGTTTCCGTACAATCATTCTTTCCATATAAGTAATCATTCTTTGCTTATATTCACAAAGACTTTACCATTAAATAACTTCCAAATGACGTTGCTACAAATTTATATATCCCCGCATTGGTTAAAATTTCCATATATCTTAAAATCCAAAATTGAAAAAACTTTTTTGAGATTTGCCGATATTTCTTGTTCTTGCTCTTATAATTAAAATAGATTCAATCGTATAATACGCGACGCATTTTTGTGGGAATTGAAATAGATTTAAAGATCTGCTGTCACGTCCGACATGTTCGACGATGTACCGATGGCAACGTAATATTTATGATGATCCGAGGTAATCGGGAATCTTGCTCTCTGCAAAATCCCGACGGTATCTTCATCGAGTACCGGCAGCATCCAACATTCGCACAAATCGGCAACATCGACTTGTCGTCGATGCATCGTCGTCACATCCACCGGGATGTGCGCGGCATATAAGCTGTATCTCTGTTTAACGTCGCGTTAAGAGGATTATTTATTGAAGACATCGGCGCCGATGCAGACCGATTAGCATAGTAATGCCGCCGTGAGAGGCTGGCCCGGCTGTTGCCAGTTTACGTGCGTGTGCGTGCGTCACTAATCTACCATTATTAAATTATCGGTGCAGCAGCCGCGCGGTGCACCAATGATTATCATTTATCAATATCACGAACGTAGTAACGTCGCGAGATCGCCGCCGGTCTCGTGTATCTGTACATCGTCAGCACATAATGTTATGTAGATACCACCGGTATGCGCGACGTCGACCGGTGATAGGGATGTTGCTCTCTCTTCTCCCGATGTTGCAGGATCACTAATCGGTCCTGAACACGATCAGCGTGCGGTCCTACGAACGTTATATCAATCGCAATACCGATCAATGTAATCGAATGAAGCATTTATGACGCAATTTATTATTTAAATGACCCGCCTTGACCGAATATAGCCCTCTTTACTTATCTGTGTTGAACATTTCTCGGTCCATTTTCACTTAACTTTCTTCCCACCTATTTATAGGACAGCATCTTTTTAATTTTTTTTCTCTATATATATATAATCCATATGTACACGAAAAGATGCTCTATGTGGAGTATTCATATGGAGAAAAAAATTAGAAAGGTGCTATCCTATAAACAGGACGGTAGGAAAAAATGAGTTAATTGTTTATTATTTAAACCTCTAAATAAAATATGGCTTCCAATCGGTCATTTTATGGTCGTTTCAATTATCAATATCGATAAAGTATATTTATGTACAAATCCATAGTGAATATTTACGAGTGTTTTACATGCCAAAAATTTGTGCCATATCTCACCCGATAGATTCCATCTCTCTTTGAATATTATTAGAAAGATTTTAGCATAAATTGACGCGTTTATATATGAAATTATTCAAATTATAATAACAATTATATCTCGAATTATATCGAAAGTGAGTTGTACGAAAACGCGACGAAGGTGTCCGGTTGTAATAAAATGTAGGTGGAAGATGAAAGAAAAATGTGAAGAGAGACATGGAGGAGTGCATGATCCTCGTCGTAATCCTAGAAATTTATCGACATGTTCGTGACAGCAGTTGAGAGAGGAAAACGTGAGACATACACAGCTCTATCAGCGGTCCGCGTGTATGCACACCGCTATCTCAATAATATGCTAATAATGCACGCGGTCGGTGGTACTTTACGATCGTTACGTAGTTACGGGACATTGTAATTATTGTTTCGCTGCTCGCTCATCCGGTACAATGCAACGCCAGGACGTGCACGCTCGTCGATTGTTGCATCAATCGTACGGGGGCTCGTACACGATTATAATTATGGGTGACCTTAAGCACTCCGCACGCAACAGGCATGGTGAAGGATTTTATTAAGAGATATCCGTGGAGAGGCTACTGTTAACACTTTGTGTGTGTCGAACAGGTTTCGATTGACTCTTTTCGAAAGATAATTTAACGAGTCAATTATCCAAAGCCCGTATTATATTGAAGATTAAAGTTTACAAATTAAAAATGAGAATTCGATTAATCAAATAAATTTAATTTTAATACGTTTTATTTTGATCGGTTTAATTTTTAAATCTTTAATTTGCAATCCTCAATTTTTAATTTATAGTCCAATATGGGCTTAATCAGATTAATACGACAAATGCGATCTTCAACGATTTTTTTGTTTTCTAAATTTTTTTCAAAATTTGCAATTTCAGTTAAGGTCGGAGTACAGGTCTTTGCACAACAAAAAGCATAAGAAAATAAACCAATCAGATCTTTTATTGTATATAAAGGAAGGAAATGAAGGACCTTGATTAGTTCATTTTCTTATATATTATGTATTTATATGCAAGACTCTGAGCTTCCGCTCTTACTCATTATCTTTCTTGAATATATATGTGCATATAATTCTTTAAACACGTTGCACGCCGAAAGAGTTTCAAAGTCAAATTTACCGGATTTGAATGTACACTAAGAAAATGCCTGGAAAATGGACGAATCAGAAGATACTGACCAATTAGAATTCCAATTATCACAACTAGAATTTAGTAGATTTAATTAGAAAATTCTGATTTTCGTCCAACCAAATTCGTTTTCAACCAAATTTCCGATCAGACATTTTTCTCAGTGTAAAAGTAGCAATTCGCCGAAATTCATCTTACAATTAGAACTTACCGCGACGAGGGTGCTGAGAGCTTCAATTCGCATAGTAGCTGGCCAGGCCAGCAAAGAGGCCGTAGGTTGTGAGCTGGTGGATCGATCCGCTCGTATCGATCCTTCGGTTACCGATCTCTCGGTTGCCGGCGTTATTCGGCGGCCCTAAGTATACCGGGCCGACGACGATGACTCTCTCCCGGCTCCACGCCGATTTCTCGTGATCCGTCGTGCCGATCCGGCGATGACATGGCTACTGCGCCGCCGACCTGTCGACAGAATCAATAAACATGTACTCGTATATTCCTGGCCTTTTACATCGCCGCTAATCGCGATGATATTATTATTGCCAAATCATCATTCCATCCGAATCAGTATCGAGACTCTCAATCGATTATTTTCATTGCATAAGCACGTCACGCACTCTTATTAGCTTCGATCGAGTTCAAATTGAATTCTAAATTATTCAAATAAATTTTGTAATATCTTGCTAATCTAGAGACTGATTCGGTTCAGTTACACTGAAAGAAAAGATTGCTTGCTACAGCAAATTAGATGGTAAAATATGGCATAACATTTTTAGTTGGCTGCAGCAGTCAATTTTTGGTTGCAGCAGCCAATTTTGGTTGCGTTAGCCTATCCGCAATGTCAATATAGAATTTCGATAGGCTAAAGTAATCAAAAATTAGCTACTGCAATCAATTAAAAATGCTATGCCATATTTTACCATCTAATTTGCTGCAACAACCAATCTTTTCTTTCAGTACACCTTCTTGTCCAATCGATAAAATTATTACTCGACAATACTATGAACTAGACCACAATTATACTCTGTACAATATTACTGAAAAAGTTTACTCAATTTTAATAAATATTTGTTTAAATATTACTAAACATTTATTTAAAACAAATAAATATTTACTCAATAAAAAAATTATACTTAAATTAATGGTTCTTATTACCAAATAAATGTTTACATTTAGTAAATATTAGGTTAATACCTACTATTCAAATAAATATTTATTAAAATTTAGTAATTTTTTGAGTGCTAAAATGCGAAAATATCAATTCTGAACATGAATGTGAATATTAACATATAAAATTTCACTTTTTTTATCACGATCGTGATTTATCATACATTCTCACCTTTCACGCAAGAAAAATCTCCAGCAAATTCTGAAGCTACTCGTCACTTCAAACTTGTTCAAGATTTTCATTAATTCTAAATGCACAAAATTATCATATATCACGACTTTAAACTCCAAGAACTATTCGATTCTTCGATGAATCCTTTTCCGCAAAAATCGTGAGCTAATTGCACGAATGATATGAAGAGTCGCAATCAACCGCGTGAATCGAGAGGACAACGCGTTCGCCGCAACGTGTTACAACCGACTGGACCCGATTTCGAGATTTGCCGATAAAGTTAACGAGGCTGAACGCCGGCATTTCGTGCAAGGTGCGGGCGTCGCGTCGTCTACATTTCGTCACTCATCGTGGCGAATCGATATCTTATCTTATGCTCACTTGTCTCAGGCAATTCCGGCGATTACGTCGTTTAGTAATATGTGTTACTGACCTACCAAACAGGAATATATTCCCTCGTGAGAGGCTCGACAATGTTTCTTGTGCGAAAACTTTTTCTTTTTTTCTTCTACATTATATCTACATCATTCCTTATCTTATTTATACCAGGCTTTGACTATCGCATCATCTATTAATACATGACCGCGGAATGATAATCCTGTTTGTTGCCTAAATCCCAATAATTCCGCAATCGTATAAATTCTAATTGATAAAGATGAGAAGTACGAGCGCCATGCATAACAGTATGGCGGTATCGACATCAACGCTCTCCTGGCATCATTCGTTATGTGAGTTAATGACTCTCGAGAAATCATCGATTGGTCCCCGTCTGGAAGTCGCGACGCCTCTCACACGGTGGAAACACGCCTTCTCACCGTTTCGTAATGGACGGGACTTCACGCGTGCGCGCGTTCGCCGTTCCAAGCAAATGAAACGGAACTAACTAACTACTTTGATAAGCGACGAGATGCGAAGGAAAGCTGTCGCCACCGACTGTGGAACTCCACATGTCCCATCGGATCTCTCGAGAGATCACGAGAGGTGACTCGGCTAGAAACGAGATCCATCTGTAATCGCGCGTTTCCTCACTCGTCGCAAATTAATTCCAAGCAAAATGCCGAAGTCAAGTTGGTTATATCTCTTTCTGAAGAAAGATAGACTTAGAAAAGGACGGTACATTCAACATTTAATCCTTCATTAGTCGTGTGAGATTAAATTAGCTAAGTGCTCTGTACGTTAAGAATGCTGAATAAAATTAAGCTGTTTGTATCTATTTTTATTTGTACACAGGAAGAACGATTTTGCTGAAATATTAAAAAATTTAGCTAGATACAGATCTGAAAATAATTTTGTTAATTCACACTGAAAAAAAAAGATTGGCTGCTGCAGCAAATTAAATGGTAAAATATGGCATAGCATTTTTAATTGAATATAGTAAAGTAATTTTTATTTGGCTGCATCAACTAATTTTTGGTTGCAGCAGCCAATTTTTGATTGTGTTAACTTATCCGCAATGTCAGTATAGGATTTCGATAGGCTAACGCAGCCAAAAATTAGCTGCTGCAACCAATTAAAAATGATATGCCATATTCAGCCATTTTTTTCTTTCAGTGCACCAACCAAATTTTTAAATACTTCAGTAAAACTGTTTTTCCGTATATGCAAAGCGCACGTGAAGAATGCTAAGTAAAACAAAGTTATTAAATAATTCGAAATTAAACTGAATTCTAATATCCTGTTGTTCTTGCTAAGGAAGTAAATGTAGTTATTTATTATTCAAAATAAAATTTCCAACATTTCCGTGTCATTTTGTAAATTCAGTCCATTTTTTGCTTTTTTATATGGATCGCTTCCGAAATTAATCTTTTGTTAAATCCTTATTCTTCATTCAAAATCTTAATATCGGTCCAATCAATTTTTATTATATTTATTATTAAAGTAACCGAAGTTATCAATCAAATGCGTTTATCGAAGGTAATTATGAATAATTATGGAGTGACTTCATGACGTAGATGTTCTATGGCGATCGGCCCGGGTGTTCTCGTCATCGCCAGCTCGCCTGTCGTCATGAATCATCGGCGTCCTCCTTCTATTGATCATCAAAATAGTAGCATCCATTCGATTCGATTGCTTCCAGTAGGCGGAGTTCAGGGGTTGATGAAAGCAACCGACACGGCATGGTGCCGGTAATCGTAAGCGGATTAGGGTTATAATTTCGGATTATATTGCGCCGACATAGCACGGTGGAGATGTAATACATATGGTACCTATAAGGATCATTGCCAGTGAGTCACGCCGCTGAAGAATTCGTTTGATAAGATGCTCAGTCACCGCTTCTTATCGTGGTGTTTCCCCGGTAAGAACGACGCAATGGGAGCAGAGAGACACAAAGAAGGGATGTAATTCTTGTTTTATCACTGAATGCATTATCGGCGAATACGCGGAATTCAGTCGATCTGCATTCCTTCGCGATTCGCGCATCGTTCTCGAAACTAAAGGTGCGTTCCGAGTTACGCATGAAACACATGATGTATCGTTTTATCTTTGTTTATTAATTGGTAAACAACAAGGACAAATGATGCATCATGCGCTTCATGCGTAACTCGGAATGCACTCTAATATTTAAAGAGATAACACAATTTCTTGTACTTATAGTTTTGTGAAACTGACACCTTAAAAATTTATCGATGGTTTTATTATATATAGTTTAATTTATCAAAACTATTTTTAATTCTGTTAAAAAATTATAGAATTCTTCGGGATGCATTGAAATTGTAAGAAAAAGTTTTTTTTTTTTTAATGAAGTGCTAACTTCACAGATGTTTGTTCTGCGCGTATTCTATTGGGAGTGGAATTTCTCTCCAAGAAAAGTGATATAGTTGCGTCAGTCGAGCAAGAATGAATTTCACTCCCAAAAATTTAGACTGTGTACCTGCGAATTCCTTACTGGAATGTGGCAACACATGTGCAACCGATTTTGCGCCGATTAACGATAACCAAACGGACTTAGCGTGCCGTTATCACGCGTTACCGCTCAAATAACACACCTCATATAAATTTATAGCCAATTGCTGTCGCGAGCTATCAACGAACACAACCGTTCCATTTTAAATTACACGACTAACCGCGATTGTATACGCGCAAGTTAAAACATTCCTGAAGCTACAAGGATAAAAACAAGGATGAAATATTATTTATATAGCGTCATTAATAATTTTAAGTAAGTGTTCTATGTTCAAATTATAACCAATATAATTATATACAGGTTTTATGTACAATTATAAAGATTGTACAAGTAAAAAATACTGAACATTTTTGACATTTTTTTACAACAATTGTTATTAAAAAATCTAACCGCAATTAGAAAAATAGGATTAGAATATGTGGAATTATATAAATAATATATAATTGTATTGCTAATAACTTTGTTAACGAAATTCCATAATCGATAACCGACAACATTGAATAAATAATATCAACTTTAAAAATGCAACAAAAATGTCATAAACAACATCAGCATTAAGGATTTATGCAATCAAGGAGAAAAGAGAAGTTATAGTTATAATCCTCTAAATCTCTAATAAATGGCCCGAACAAATCTTAATACCAGTCCTATGATAATATAACACAGTAACTATATCGTCGCGACAGTTTTTTCCAATTATTAGAAGGGATTTCTACCAGGAAGTAACCGCGGACCTGACTTTAAAGATCAATGTCGCGTGGCAGTGGACGGTGGTCGTCGCAGCGGGAAATAAGTTTTTAGTAAAAAGCATGACTAATCCCTTGGGAACTATATCTGACACCACGTCCACCTACGTGAAAACAACACCGACTTTCTCTTGCCCTCCGTCCTATCTTTTATTTCATTTGGTCTTCAAGCACACATGTTCAAGGTCCATCAAATGAACCCCGTCGAGCCGGATGCGCAATCTCCATCGATCGACGTATTAACGATCTCGATGCCGCAAGATAAACAGTCAATCGGTCTGCTCTCGACACAGGCACGACGAAGGCTTGTGGTTTAATTACGGCATCGTTTACGAATAATGAACGAGACGCATAATTCTCGCGCGGTGACTTGCAATCTTGGTAATTTGGCCTGCATGAGTATTCTCAATGGTTGGATATCGCGAGATTATCCCAGTCTAGATTGCCGTTAAGCATTAATATCCCGCCGAGC